CCTATATATATATATATATAGGTTCATTTAAAAAATAACTGATTAGTTTGTGATAACTATGAGATCCAATCTCAACCACAAATCAATGGATAAATTAGGAAACTAATATTTTTTAGTAATTTAACTTAAAATTATAATTAAAGGGCATTTTAGGTATTTTAAATTTTTATCTCTCCTCTCACTCCCTCTCTCTCTCTCTCTCTCTCTCTCTCTCTCTCTCTCTCTCTTCTACCTTCGGCATCTGACGCACACCATATGATACCCAAAATACAGCAAGAAACACAATGTGATACCCAAAATACATACAATATGATACCCAAAACACACCAACTAAACTTTAAGACCACCGTGTAAGCAACTGTGTAACCACTGTGATACCAACTGTCGCGAAGATGGGGGAAGGGAAATAGGTAGTGAGGGGGTCACAGGCACAAATATGAGGTTAGTTGTCGGGAATGCTCACAGATGGGTGTTTAATGGTCGAACATCGGAGACGACGTCTTGGTCAGACAAGATGACCGGAGTGGTGGTAGGTGTCGTAGAAGCAGGGCGGACCTGTAGTGTCGGCATGGGTGGCACATGCCACCGTATTATTTTGCCTCCGAATGGTAAAATTTTTAGGTTTGTTAACAGTGCTACTGTATCGTTTCGGAAGGTGCTACCGTATTTTTCCTGAAATTCTAGCAGTGCAACTAAAACCCAAACAAAATAAAGCCCAAATAAAATGCAAAAGCCCAATTAATATCTCCAAATTACAAAACTGTAAAGCCCAAACAAAATAGATTAATCAATAAGGATAAGTAAGCCCAAATAAAATCTAATGGTCCATTGGACTGCAGTCTGCTTAAAGCCCTAAGAAGTAAGGCCTAATTCCTAACTAAAGCCCTAAATCGATCACCTGTGCGACCGTGCATGAGCGATGCGACGATGAAGGCTCTTGAGCGAATGAGCGAGTGAGAGAGTGAGAGCTTGAGGCGTGAGCGACATTGCGACAAGCCGACAGGTGACAGGCGGGCCACCAGGGACAGCGTCGCAGCGAGAACGAGAAGAGAATCGAATCGATTCGATTTTGGAACTCGCCACTCGGTACCGACTCTGTGACTCAGACTCAGTCACTTATTCGATTTAGGTATACAAATTGATCATTCTGTTTACTGTTTAGTTGATTATTTACTATTTTACTTGATTAATGATTACTTAATTAACTCTTGAAAATACAAAATACAAATTGATCTTAGACTTTTAGTTGATTACTTAGTACTTACTTGATTAGTGATTACTTACTTGATTGTTACAATCGTGAAATTGATCAATTTATTAGTTGATTACTTAGTTTAGTTGATGATGACACGATGTTTAGGTTTCATATGCTGATTAGATTTACTAATTTACATTACTCATTACTGATTACTTATTATTGTTTTCATTACTTAGATTTACATAACTCATTCATTATGGAAAAATATTTGAAACGAAAAGCTTCATCATCAACCGGTAATAATGATGCATCCAACAATGTGATTGATGTTAACGATCTTCCTTGGGATCTATCCGAAAGACCGAAAATTATAACTTGTTTCTCAATATACTTTTTGTAATTATTTTTGGGTATATATTGACCGTTTTCAAAAGATGAAGACGCGTCGGGTACAAGTTTAGGAGTTGTTTATCGGTACTATAAAAACCATACTTTTTTGTAATTATTTTTAGATATATATTATATTATATTAATTATATGGTGCCACCGTATGAAAATTTTTCTGGGTCCGTCCCTGCGTAGAAGCCCACCGGATTTGGTCCTCGTGTGTCCGTGTGTGTGTGTATATATATACATATATTAAAATAATTAAACTAACAAAAGTAAATTGGAATATTAAACTAATTAAAGTAAATTGATTAATCAACACAATTTACTAATTTACCCTTTTTTTTATTTTAGTAAATAACATCAATTATCTAAATTTTTGACTCATATATATTGAACCTCACAATTGCAACAAACTATCTAGTTCTCATTAGTGTATGTATACATGCATGCATGTATGTATGTATGTATATATATATATATATATATATATGTATGTGTATGTATGTATGTGTATATATATATATATATCTATACTATATTATAAAGCATTTGAAAAATCTCTTAAAACCATATTTTATGCATAAGGATTGTTCATTGATGCATATTACTTAAAATTCAATATTACAAGTAAATTATGCATTAAGTACAACTTATTAAAGCTCAATGTTTGAATTCGTGTAACTAACTACGGATAAACATAATCAAATAAAGAATAAACATCTCATTTTAAAATATAAAAAATCTAAAATATAATTAGGATAATTATCGAGTTTCTAACCGAAAGTTTAATTATTATTTTTAATAAAAAA